GTCTATAGGTCTGGTTTTAGTCCTGGTTTAGTCCTGTTTTGACTCTGCTCTCCTCCTCTAGTGCTCAGAGTGCCTACAGTCCTTATGAGAGGTGCAGCACAGAGCTCGCTGACAGGAGCCCACGCATCCTGTCGCGCGTGCTGTTTACAGTTAAAATATTTGCCTGTCTGGAGGATCTGAGGAGTCACAGATAAGGCGCTGTCAGGAGCAGAACTGTCTGTCTCCCCTCCCACCCGACCCCTCTTTATTAAAAGCACATTGATTTGTTGTAGCGTTTGATAATCCCCCCACCAGAGTCTAATCAAAACACATCAAAATGTTTGCCACCAAGGACAACAGTGTCAGAAAAATTCCCTGCTCACTGCGCCTTGCCTTGTTTTGGAGCAGTGATTTTTTTGTGCTGGGCGTTGATGCAATATGAATAATATGATAAAGTGTCTTCTGCTCTTAAAATAGCAGGTTGGCATTCAGAGGCTGCCTCGTGTTTTGCTAACAGAATGAAGAGTATAAACAAAACTGAAAATGTTCCCATCTAAAGTTATGAATTTTAGCAAGACAAAGACACTGATTTGTGTGTTTTAATAGCTGCTGTTTCTTTGTAAACTTTGGTACATGAAGTAATAGACCACTTTATATAACTTAGTCCACAGACATGCTTGATTTGGCAGCTCTGAAAACAGTGACCATTTGTCCAGTGTGTTCCCACCTATTGTTACCAGAATAGGCTCCAGTACATTTTCTTCCTGACGGCACTAAGCTGAATATGAGTGAATGTATGAGAATGTGTGTTGTCCCTCTCTGGAGAGCGGGTGGTCCAGGCTGAGTGGGGTTAAATCTACAGCCTAAACAGATATCTGGGCTTGTCTCCAGTCACTGAGCCGGGCCCCTCCTGGCCCTCGTCAGGAGCCAAATTATTTTTAATGGATCTTCATAAAAGCATCTGTATCAGCACACCTGCACACTGCACGGCTATTGACAAAATGATTATGAGCGCGGGACCCAGAAATTGCTCTAAAATGTGTAATCATTCTGTTTGCTGTACCTGGCGCCTCCTCTCTCTCCTGTGTCTGTTTTCTTTGGGCCTAGTTCAACAAAAGAATGTTATTTTCTTCCTCCTGGGTCCATGGCCTGGGCGATTTCCATTTAGATCTGGGCACTGTTTTAAGGTATATACACCCCGTGAATGCATCCAGCAATGCTTAATAGTAAATTCTATGCAAATGGGCTGTCTAACCTGGCCAGAGGTGCATTGTCTGCACAAAATAAAGGTTAATTATGGATGTTAATTTCTACAGATTGTGGATTTAATGAATCTGATTAGCTATTCAGGTTTGGTAATTTGCTACTATTTTTCAAAGCAGTGGTTGGCAAGCCTCCTGGCAGCCTTGTACTTATCATTGTGTTATTGATATAACTGGGATTGCTGGAACAATATGTCTCCTAATCCTTTACAAGCAAACTTTTTCATCTCCATAACTCACATCCGTCTGTGTCTTTGTCATCATTTCCGATGCTAAAGGGAGTCATACGACGCGCGCTGACAGCTCAACACTTCTTCTGCTCACTCCTCTGTTTCTTCTCATCAAATTTGATTTGTATGAAGATATAACTGATGTTTTATTTATTTGTGCCCTCGGAGACAACCTGCAGCTGCCCTGGGGGTGTCATCATTTATATGTAGAGAACAAAACAAAAGTGAGGAAATCAAAGGCTGCCACTGTCCTTGCACCTAGTGGCATAGACTTTAATGAAATTCAGTGAGATGAAATTGAGCACATTCTCTATTGAGATTGTCCGTATCACTCTGAAGAGCTTCATTATAACAACAGTGATACAGCAGTGGGGCCTGTGGGATGTCTGAGTTTGGGATGTGGCATGTCTCATTTATCACCATAAGAAAAACACTGTCATGTTCCACAGCATTTAGTTCTAGACAATGTTTATCTCATTTAGCAAACTGTTCAAACTGCACTACAGGTATTGCTCCAAATGAACAGGGAAAACTACATATACATGAGACAATTTCTGTGTTGTTTCTCCCCATGTCTGGTTTCCCCTATCAACCCAGAACATGCTCAACATTTGGAGATGATCCCACTGCTCCAGACAGGTCACCCCAGCGGCACTGAAGCATGCACAGGATGATTTGAGATTTTATTTGATCTTCTGAGTAAACTACATTACTGTAAAAATAGCATTTCACTTCATGAAGACTGAAGCAGGGAATTGTATGTTGGCAAATCCCTCACAGAAGTTTATTCACTTAGAACTGATCTCATACACATGTCCGATTGTTTACAAAACAGCAACACTTATTTTATGGACAAACTTTTTACCAGAAAATACCACGCCTCTAATAGTTTATTACCCTACAAAACAAAAGTAAAAACAACAGGTGCACGTTAAACAGTTGTGTAAATTTACAGCTGCATACTGCGTCGCTGCTCCCATGGGTGCTATTGGATAACTTCTGTAAAACTACGGATGAGAAAAATTAAACCCCGTCTTTTTTTATTATTGTTGTGGGCGCCAGATGTGCAAGTGATTGTGGAGTGAGGAAGAGTTGATGAAGAGGAGACTACGACCACATAATGAGGATGACTGAGAACACGTTTTCCAGTCGAGATCCTGTGATTTTGTCTTCTTGGCTTTTTGCTCCCGTCTACCACTCTAAGTTGTCACTATCCCCTCTGATTTTTCACCTCCATGGCACCGCTCTGATGGGGAGGCAGATGCTCGGAGGGGGCCCAGAAGGAGACAGTCTCTGATATGAAAGGGTGTAATGAATGGTGCCGCCTGTTTGTGTGCCTGTCGCCAAGTACTGCAGCTGCATCAGCACTGGAAAGCACGGCGCAGACAAAAGGCCCAGCACAGTGTAAAAGTGAATCAGGGATATGTGTATAATGCACGAAATGATGTGCAGTCAAGCAAAGGTGTGGAGTACATTCTAGTTATCACGTGAAGGGGAAGTTAAGTTGTAATAGAGGAGAAAACAAGTAGAAAAAAAGAGCAAAATCTCGAGATCAGCATTGCAGATACAGAATTTCACAATTTGTAACTAGTGCCAGAGGATAACTTTTACGGATTTAGCTTTCGGTTCAAAGGCAACATTCTGAAGACTTTTGACTATTTAAAAGTAGGGATGTAACAATATCCAAATCTCTCGGTATGATATTATCACGATATGCATGTCACAGTACGATATTTATTGCGATATTTTGACGAGGTGAATATAAATGTAGATGGGACACTTTTTTACTTTTAAAATACCTTGACAAGATTTTAGTGTGAATTATTTCCATCATAATCCCAAGAATTCAAGTAAAAAACAAATATCTTCATGTTTGCACTGAAATGAATCATGGGATATGTAGTTCCCTAAGTTTATAAGCTGTTGCTACTATAAAACCATGCAGCTGACCAAAAGGAACTTGTGATTCAATATATAGTCAAAGATATTATTGTGAGACTTTTGACGATACAATAGCACAATATTTTGGTTATTGTTACATCCCTATTTAAAAGATAGGGTATTTACCTTTTATTGTTAATAGCTAATTTTTCATCATGCAAGGAGCCAAAAGCAGCTATGTGCCCTTTTGCCTGAAAGTAGGTCCTCGCGGGATTGAGACAAATTAGTTTTCTATTCCAGAACTTAAAGGTCCTAAATTGACTCTTGTGAGCTTTTAGCTATGTTAGAATGTTGCCATCTCATTAAAGTTGTGTTGTTTTGTTTCCTTCACACGTTTGAGTAATCCTTTATTAGTCTGTCTACATCTTCAAAGCTCAAAATGCTCTCTTCCACCTTTTGATGTCATGAAGTGTTAGTTCTCATGTTAACTGCTGCTTTTTACCTTTTGTTCAGTAGAGATTGGCAATTCCAGGTTTGAAATGATTCAAATGATTCTAGTGAAATTTTATGGACAAACATATTAGAGCACTTCCTGTATTACCACATGACTTCACAAGTGTTTAAATCTACAGGGGTCGTGTGTTAAACATGTGTGAATGAAACAAAACACAACTCCGGGTATGAGGAAACAACATTAGATCAGAAAATATGATGTTTTTTAAAGTATATTTTAAATGGTTGCATGTCCCTGTTTTAGTTTGGGTTGATTGACAACTTTATAGTATATACAGTAATCTGGTGTTGTTGTTGTTCTACTAGTTGTAACATTTTAATTTGTGTGCTATTATTTTAACACAGAAAAAACAACTGAATGGAGTTTGCAGTACTTTGCTGCACTCCACTTGTGTCCTCATTGATCGTAGCAGCACTAGATCATGTTCATCTTGTGTGACTGCCTGCTGTAACCTGGCTCAGGGGTAGCGGCTGCCCGACTCCTCGCTGTGCTCTGGTTCTATTTTCGGTTAATTACTACTAATGAATTGGAGTATCCTTATTGTCCTCTAGAGCCCTGAAGAGCGCTCTCCTGTAACAAAAAATCTGTCAGTTCCTAATCAATCTCTTCTCTCTTGATTGAGATCCTTGGCTTTTTTTCACCCCTTTTAGCAGCTCTGCGAGGGACATATTGTTTTTCCATTTTGTTGATTGCATTATCTTAAAGCTTTGTTGGGGGTGTAATGGAAGCCTTAAAGAACAGGTGATGGGGCTAATTAGTCATTAGCGGAGAGATTAGGGTCCCAAATGACAAGAGCATGCTTTACAAGGTCATAATTTGATTAAAGTCACTGCCAGTTTGACGGGAGAAGCTTCTCTGAGATGATTTAGTCTAGCAATCTTCTCACCACAGGATACAGGAAACTTAAATGCCTCAGTTTGGTCATACAAGTAGTCAGAGCCATCTTTGTTGGGTCAAATAAGATGATGGACTGGACCAGTGGGCTGGTCGTGGCCACTTTTACTAATTAGCCATATTGTTACCATATCATTTATTTGAGAAATCATTATCTGAAATTCTGAGTTTAAGCAACCTAAAGTTAAAATGTTCTTTAAAGGTGAGGTCTATCCATCAATTTCTCTTCTGCTTATCCAGGGCCGGGTCATGGGGGCAACAGTTTAAGCAGGGACTCCCAGACTTCCTTCTCTCCAGACACTTCCTCCAGCTCCTCAGGGGGGACCCCAAGGTGTTCCCAGGCCAGCTGAGAGACAAAGTCCCTCCAGCGTGTCCTGTGTCTTCCCCAGGGCCTCCTCTCGTTGGGACATGCCCAGAAGGCGCCCGGGGAGGCATCCGGAACAGATGCACGAGCCACCTCAACTGGCTCCTCTCGATGTAGAGAAGCAGCGGCTCTACTCTGAGCTCCTCCCGTATGACTGAGCTTCTCATCCTATCTCTAAGGGAGCGCCCCACCACCCTGCGGAGGAAACTAATTTCAACCGCTTGTATCTTCAGTCAGTCTTGTCCTTTCAGTTACTCAAAGCTCACGACCATAGGTGAGGACAGGAACGTAGATTGACAGGTTAATCTAGAGCTTTGCCTTTCAGCTCAGCTCCCTCTTCACTTTCTTTTTCCTGTAAATGAGTAAATTTGAGTATTTCTTTCATCACATAACTTATTGTAAAGCTGAGCATGTCTCCAAGAATTCTTGTATGTGAACACAAGAGGTGTACCAAAGAGTTTGTGGGAGTTACAGACTAGTGTGTCTAATGTAAATACTTACTTCCTCTTTTCCTGTTTTGAAAATTGAGTAATAAAAGTTGTAATAACTGATACCCAAATTTGCCAGTTTCATTGAAGATCTCTCTACATTCTATATTATTCTATATTTACATTCACTCTTCTTTATGCCTCGAGTTTATTCAAATGCTCAACCTATTTCCTTATGTGAATCCTTATAGACGAATTAAGAGATGCAACAATTTGCATAAAACGTAAACACAACTCTTTGAACATGCGTCATGGGTTGACTGTTGTGCGTTGATAGCGTGTTAATAAAGTTATTTGCACATCACAAATATGAAGCACAAAGCTGTTATGCGGAAAGCATTGAGGCAGATGAGTTTTATATCTGAAAGCAGAATTGTGAGATCATCAATTATTCAGGGGTCAAAGGGTGAAGGGAGCCCAGAGGCAGTGGACTTCTCTCTGGAATGGGGCTTTCACTTGATGTTCCAACGTTGCAGACCTCTTTGGGTTCAAGACGAGTACAAATGTGAACTGACTGGCCCCTAAAAGAACAATGTGACACACGTCTGATCAATTACTGTCCGGAGATATGATTGACACGAAGGTTTTTCTCCTCCTCTGGCATATTTTTACGAGTAAGGAGATGGTGAGTTGGGTCATTGGGGAAGGTAATTACCATAACTTGCTAATATCAAGAGCTCATAGGAATTTTAAAGTGTTGTCAGGGTGGTGATTTATGGTTCGTGGTGCAGAATGTGCCCCGTCTAAAGACCCAAGTTAATGCAGTAGTCTTTTACCATTTTTGACAGGAATAAAAATACATCTATGGTCAGAAATAGTACGATAAGGTATTGCCCAAAGGCGTGGGAGGGGATAGAATATTATTGCGTTGTGGCAGCCTTCCTCTTTAAAGATTAATATTGTTTTTGTTTTTATGTGCTGTTCAGTATTTTTGTATAATATAATTCAATTTTTATTCCTAAGAGAGAATTAAAATCTATTATTTTTAGTTTTATTTTCTTTTATTGTCTGAAAGGAAATTAAAGTTAGAATCCCACCAGGTACCTTCACCCAAATATAGGTTTCTCTGTCATGTGTTTACCAGTTTAATCAAATATTGATAGGGGTCAGCAGCACACAAGGAACGCCACCTGCATTTCAATATTTAATGTATAATATAGTCCCATAGCATAAAGGCTCTCCCCTGCTCTGAATCCAAGCCAACAATTGTATGTCATGAACTATACCACGGCTGAATTAGAAACGTAAAAATTTAAGAGTTAAAGGGACAGTCCGGAGTTTTGGACATAGGATCTCATTTCCTAGTGAGCCAGAGTGTTGGAGACGTGTGGAGATACTTTTTTAATTATTCCATCCAGTCCTTGTATTTGCAGAGGTCGCTGGTGCTAGGCTAGTGCATGTCAATGGCCATAGTTAGCCTGCCACTAAAAACAGTCTTACCCACTCCACAAAACACCCGAAGCAAAACAATTATAAAGGCAGACGGTCGGTGTGACTGTATGTGTCGATAGAATAGTTTTAGAAGTAAAACCAACCTTGCATTTGAAGGATTTATGTCTGAGCAGCAGCAGCGAGTTGTACTTCCTGATAGAAAGCTTGGCAGCGGTGGACTGATATATGAGAAAATAGTCCCTCAACATGCGACGATTCATGTGATGCAAGATTAGTTTTATTTCAAACATTATTCTATCAACACAGACATTTACATCAAATAATATTAGTTTTGCTTCGAGTGCTTTGTGGAGTTTCTTCCAGACTGTTCCTTTATCCCAGCATCTTAAAGAGCCCATATAATGTTTTTTTTTTTTTTTCTTTTTCTGATCTGTTATAATATCACAAACATACACAGCTGAGTTTTGTTTCATTCATGCATGTTTAACACTCAAACCCTGCATATTTATTTTTTCTGACTAAATATCTTTACTCATACATGAAGTTCTCCACTGTGTTTTTTAACTCCATACACCTTGACTTGAACCATTTGTATCACTTCAGCCCTGAAATTGCCAAACTCTACTGAACAAAAGGTTAAAAAAAATAGTGGAACAGAGCATTTAGAGCTTTGGAGATGTAGGCAGATGAATAATAAATGGTTTCTCAAATGTGCGAAAGAAACAAAACTCCAGGTATGTTTTTGAGGAGGTAAGATTAGAACATTAAAGCGCACAAGAGTCAATTTTGTGTAATATAGGACCCCTAAGTGAAATCTTTTGGAAGAAACTAATAACACTGATGAATATTCTTTGTGAAGAACGAAAGAACCAAAACTTGAGACAGAAAAAGTCTGTATGAAGATGGTTGGAAAGCAGGGATGGTAAAATGGGTACACGTCAAAAAAAAAAAAAAAAAAAAACACGCTTGAGATATTGAGTCCTCCTCATTTATCTTTAATACCCACATGGATGAAGAGTCAAATTGCAGTTGTGGGGTCAGCCTCGGCGGGTCACTGGGCATCATGAAACTGAAAGGAAAGCCCATGAAAAGATGTGGCGAGTGCATGGATGTTGAAAGAGCCTAGGCATGTGTGAGTAAATAGGTTAACGGGATCACCTCAGTTCAAGTGCATGACTGTGTCCGTATGTTCCATGTTTAGCTGCTTTTGTCGTGTGGGATTTAGTGCGGGGATGTGCTCTATAGTGGCATCTCACGGGTATAGGGCTGCAGAACCTTAGCAGATGAGCTGGGTTAGATTTTGAATGAGGTACGACACAAGGGCCACAAAGACAGATGTGCAGAAGCATTTGGTAAACATCATTTTCCGAACCTAAAGACTTTTTTATTTTTACCTGTTGGATGCAAAACTAATTAGGGGAATATAGTTCATAATATCTAAGCCTGATTTCATGTTAACAGTACTTTGCAGACACTTGAAAATTAGATGGTTTACCATATTTTTTGGACTATAATGTTCAAATCTCTCATCTATTGTACATAAGGTGCACTGGATTATAAGGCGCATTAAGCGAAACAAATGGACGACACTTAAGACTGATCCCTTAGCCCAGGCGTCCACGATCCATTGGCAGATCGTGGTGTAACTCGCCCGGAATTGCCTCCCTGTCTTGGTGAATGTGTATTATGAATGTGAATGTGGGTGGACAATTTAAGTTAGTTTTCTTTTGTTTCCTACGAGGAGGACTCAGATATACATTGAGTAATAATGTGTTTAATGCAGCTTTGTACACATTTGTTTACGTTTTACGGAAACAAAACTTAAAACCACATGGCTAATTTGCATAAACTATAAGCTCTGAAAAAACAGCTCGCTCCTTGTGCGCTGATGCAGTTCAGCTTCTGTTGAACTAAAGGACATGAGTCAGTGGAATATGTGTGTTCTTTCTGTGACAGAGGATGTGCTGCTGATGGTTACTCCGCAAGACTCCTGACTACGGTGGCCACAATGCTCCAACAATCAATCAAGTGTGCGGCTTCGTAGCTTACCAAAGTCATACTAAAACATTTTGACAGATTTTTGAGCACCGTGTACCATGTAAAATCAGTTCAAGTTCAGTAAGAGCAACCAGAATTAACACATAAAACACACCGGGATTATAAAGTGCACTATTGATTTTTGAGAAAATTAAAGGATTGTGTAAAGGAAGTGTGCCTTATAGACCAAAAAATACTGTATTTGTTCCAGACTAAAGCTGCATTATGTAACTTTACTGATGGAGGGTCCCATCCCTGTTTGTGTCATAGAGATGTTATTGCTTTGTTTGGAATGTTTTCTGGTATGGCATTAAACCTTGACTAAATTTTGCATTTTTTCAGCTCAGAAGTTTAACTTGAGAATACAAGAATGACATGTATCATTTTCTTAGCCACAGATTTGACAGATATGAAGTTTAATGCCGTACAGTCAAATATTACAGACATTAACATCACCATGGAGTAGGTAGTGGACCCTTGATTACCGGATCGAAATAAACTGTAAGTAAACGTTTATGTCCTGTTAATACCTGTTCAGTATCAGTGCCACAATATTTTGTATACATTACTTGATGCACACGAGCCTCTCTTACAGAAATTTAAATTGAAGGCACATAGTATGAACTCATCCTCAAAAGCCTGGATTTAAAACGAGTACCAGTACGTAGAGTTCACAGAGAACTTCTTCAGTCCCGTGTGGATTTCTCAGGGCAATACCACCTTCTGCTTATTTTAGACAGCGCTCACTTCCACAGTACAAGGCGGGCTCACTTTACATGCAGGATCAAACCATGAAACCCTATCCGACTCTCATGAAATAAGAATTCAGCTAAGTGAAGACAAGCTCTCTCCGCATCTTTTATAGCATCTATCGAGCCTTTAGTGATTCCACGTTGCTACCCGAAATAGTGCGCTAGATATAAGGCCATTTAGGAGTTTCAAAAAAGGGGTCAGTGCAGGGGTACTTTCATACTTAAAGTAATGTTGGTATTTAATGTACTCAAAGCAACAAAGGTCAGAAATGTACAAAAGGGTCCATCTAAGGTTAAGATACACTTTAATCTTCCTTTAGAGAAATTTGACCCATCCGTCAGAAGTACTTTAGCTGAAGGATTTTAACTGGGTTTTTTTCTGGTTCATGGGGAAAAATA